TCCTGTTATAAATCTTATTTTTCTTAGTTCTAGCTGGTCTGTGAATCTGTACTCATCTACACAATTGCCTAATAAGCACATGGGATCAGACACACACACAGATACAAACATACACAGGGACTATAATACATGGAGTAGTATGGCACACTTTGGAGGAATTCAATAAATACCTATTTCATTGGAAATGTGATCAAAGTGTAAAAAAGTCAAAACTCTTTATATGCATCTGCCACAGGGAGTTACTAACTCTAGGTATACATAGAGGGCATGCTGTGCAAGGATGAACATACACAGGTACATATTCAGAGATAATTCTAATTTAATTCAGGCCCTAGGTCTAGGACTCTAGCTAATTTACAAGGCTGCTCTAGGAAAGACACAATTTTAAGAATAACATTAAGTCTATGGCATTTGCTTTCCTGCAGGAGAAGATATAACACATCCCACCATTCAAGAGAACCCAAATGTGATGATCTGGGTGTTTTGCTGGTGAGTTTTGTTTTTTATTTCATCTCAGAAGGTGTGTTTTCATTGGACCCTGTCAGAAACTTTCTCAGCAGTCAAGGAGATGATTACAGCACAGCTGCCCTTGAACCAAGTTTGTAAATCCTACTGGGAAACCACCCGGTGCTGTCAGACGGCGTGGTTTTCAGACATGTCTAAACAGACTAGTTGAATTAAAGACCAACTCCAGACTGGATGTTGCTGAGCTCCTCAGCTCCATCTTGCCATCCTGATTGATCGAGGAGATGGGTCTATAATTAAAGTGGCATAGCACTTGGAGGGCTTAGTCATTAGAGCACATAGCTTTGTCTTTGGAAGGCAACTTCTTGCTTGGCTAGGGTATGGAAGCTAAGGAGTGACGTCAAGATGTTGTCGGGCCAGAATTTGCAGATAACCATAGAACTCTTCTCCTCCATCAGGCATGGATTTAGCCTCCTTTAGTTCCTGCAGTGACACAGGAGCCTCCAAATACCAAATTATTATCAGACGGTCTTGGGGGAACCTCTGGGCCCTGCAATAAAGTAGACAAACTTGCTATTGGAAAGTGCTCGGGAGCAATTCAGCCCTGATCAGATTGCTATAAAATCTCTGCCAACAATCTCTGGATTTTGTCCATGAAAACCTTACACAGTTTCTGATGTTGAAAAATACTTCAGGGCATACAATTTATCATCATCCTTCACTTAGCTCCCCATCTGATACATTGTTTAAAGAAATCTGGTTTGATTGTGTTTGGGGTTTGTTTTGTTTTTAGTTTTTAAAGCAAAGCTATGCAATTACTGAGGCTCCATTTCTTGGGACAAGCCACTTCTGAGCCCTATCTGTGAAATAAGGTGTTTGCATTAGATGACTTTTGAGGCTTAACTCGGGGGATCACAAATAGTTGGAGTCTATGGACCAAACCTGACTCACACTGATGTATTTTATTCATCCCACTTGGAGGGTAAATAAAACTCTGGAAATTCACATAATAACAGGTTTACTTTTCATCATGGCCTTCACTTCCCCATATTGTCTTCCTGATCTAGCCCTTTTCAGATCTGGCCCCATCTGAGCCCTGTAGAAAATCAATGTTCAGAACCCTTGCCCTGCCTTATCTTAATAGGGTACCTATATCATTGTATTGTGATTACATGATAAGATGTCTGTCAGTCTCCCCAAAAAGATTCATTATCAATGAATCTTCTGTTCCTAGCATTGTAGGAGTATTGTAGGTAATCAGTAAATATTTATTGAATTGAACTTCACTTGCTATATTAGATTTTTACAGTTCAATGAAATGAGACTGCGACCACTCTGTCTACAATTATACATATTTTCTGACGCTAACATCTTTGGATAATACACAGCTTCAGAAGAGAGAAGTAGATGTGCTAGTTCATGGCTCAAACCTCTGATATATCCAGAATCACAGTAGTGTAGTGTTCATGTGATATTTTGCTTTAATGGGAGAAGTTCTAAACTCTCTCTGAGATCTTCTTACATTTATTTCTCAGATGGAACCTACTCAACTTCTTGCAAGAACTCTTCTTTTGTCATTTTATAAAATATTAAGTGGGAATCCTTTACCTGAAAGCTAAGCTCCCAAAGTTACGTGGCTGTACACAAGAGATCCATATATTCTGAAATATTTTAAGTTCCAGATGACTACAAATAGGATGTTCAAATAAAGGATTTGTTGTTTTAAACATATTTCTGATAAAATTTTCTTCTAAACGTGTTTAAATTGGCAATATTTTTCTAAAAAGTGTCTAATAAATAAACTCATATGTAGGCGAGTTTGATAGGAATAAAGCAAATGAAAATGCCAATGACTTGTCTTTACTTGTTACAAGCCTGGTAGTGATTAGTATTTCAGGAATATAGAGGCACATCTGGTCAATATCTGGCTAACATCCAAGATGCCTCATGTCCCATACTATGGAGAAAGAGTTCAAGAGATACAGTCCCTGCTCTCTAGGAGCTTACAATCTAACTTAAACAAGTCTACAGAAGCACATATATAAGTGTGGTCATACTCACTACTGAACAAAAGGCAACTGATACATTGAAGATAAAGGAAAAAATTATGGGACAAAGAACAACATTTAAGAAAGGATAAAGGGAATGAGAGAAGTAAATTTCTTCTTCACTCCTATTTCTTTGAGAAAAGATCATGGAAGATGTGTGATTTTCAGTGTTTTTATAATCATGAAAGAGTATAAGGTTTAGTGCCTGAAAGAAAAAAAAAAAAAAAATGTCTCCTGGTGTAAGATACCAGATACCAGGTAATTGAGCACCTTAAGCCAGGTAAGAATTATTGAATGAAGGGCCCAGCAAGACTTTATAGGGAAGGAATGGCCAAATGGAGAAATGATGGTTTGGAGCCCTGGTGTAGAGGCCAGAAGCTCAGTGGAGGGTGAGTCTCCTCCACTCTCTTCCATTCTTTCTAAGTAAGGTAACATAGAGTAGCCAAGCTACAAAGCCAAAACTCTTCCAAAAATAATTTAAAGGTCTAATCCAAAACCTTGGTAAAAATCTCTGTGGATTCTAGATTGAGGAAACAGTCTTTGGAAACTCTCTTTTAGGATTTCTAATGGAAGAAAGCACTAACCAACGAGTTACCAGCCATCTATTCCACTTCTATAGAATCTCTTTTGTTTTTTAATTTGCTTGTTTGTGTTATTGCTCATGGGTTCATTTTTCTCTTATTGGGCATTTTGGGCTGCTGATTATCTACTTAATTACTCAGTTTTATTTTTTCCTCCATCCACAAAGTAAAGCAAGCTTTTTGAGAACAGGTTGACTTCAGTCAATCTCAATTATAATACAGCCTTAGGCTTACTGGAGTACATCATATGACCAGTACCACTGGTGATGAGGTGTCAAAATACCACAGTCCTAGTGAGAGCAATCAAAGTAATGACAGAGTCCCCAACATGGTGTTCCACTTTGCCTTATTTAATAATTGACTCTTATATTCAAATGTATGCAGGGCATTTCAAGGATTTTTGAAGGATGTTTATCTCATCAAAGGATGCACAATTTAAGCAATGACTCCATGCATATTGTTCATACCATAATGACAATATTAGAATCAATAATACCTTAATTTCAAATAATACATTTTACTTCAAGGAGCTCAGTATTCTTCACATATGCTATTAAATTTCTCTTATCTTATTATGTATTCAACTGAAAGCTATGTGGGATCCTGCCTTACTCATTAAAAGCTATTAGTACTGTTTTTTCCTACTAAAAAGTAGCCTTGGTGGCACAGTGGTTAAGTACTGTCAGCAGTTCAAACCTGCCTCCTGCTCTGCAAGAGAAAGATGTGGCAGTCTGGTTTTGAAAATATTTACAGCCTTGGAAACCATATAGGGCTGCTCTACTCTGTCCTATAGAGTCGTATGAGTCAGAATCAACTCAACAACAATGGATGTTTTCCTATTAAGCTCAAATCAACATACCTTGGGGTAAATTTGGACAAATAGGAGGGAACTGCAGGTGTTTCTTTAAATACAAACAGATCCTATACTCACTGCTGAGTCCCCTTATCCCATGAGAGTTCTCAGCAGAAAGTCAGTCCCCAATGACTAACTTTGCACTAGTCTTACCTTACCTCTGAAGCACAGCAGGAACATAGTGTTTGTGTCAGGTTAAGAACATACAAATGGACAGAAAGATACCCACTTATTATTGGCAGGGACCTCAGAGATCTAGGTCACCTGCTGTGCTATCCTCATGGCCCTTTTTCACATGTCAGGAAAGGCACAGAGTTTCAATGGCATAAGCTTGTTCATCCATTGTGGTTTTATTTTTTTGTTACCCATAAGGCTGTGCTCCATTTTTAAACAGTGGCTCGGAAGATAAGATAAAGGGCTCTGAGAAAAATCCTAAGCTTCTAAAACCAATGATTTTGAACAGAAGTTAAAGGGTTAATTTATTTCTGCAAAATATTTTAACCCTCTTACCAAGCACATCATCTGTTGTCATGTCTCTTTGTCATTGTAACATCACAACAAGGTCTCATGCTAGGAACTAAGACCAAACAAAGAATACAGAACTACCCAAATTGTTACTGCCTGTGTACAACACATTGCCTTCTGATTACCTATCATGTATATTTAATTACTTTCAAGAAACCAAATTTAAATTACATCAATTGCCTGCCTTCTATAACTGATGTATGTGCATTCTGCTGATAATTCTGGTTTCTGTCTCTATCTTTTTCAAGATAAGCATGCCTTGACTCTAACTTCATGTTGACAAATGGTTTTGGAAAATGGATCCCAAGAGAAATCAGTATCTGCCTACAGTTTTGATCCCAGCAGGAGACACACCCTGGGAATTCCATAAGCAACAAACTAAAGAATCTAATCCTTGGGCCAAAAGTCCCAAGAATCCTTGGACATTTCACCCTCCTTCCAGTCATGCTTCTCAGGGACGCTGATAAACACACTGGTTGATACAGCTATGCAGCAAATGGGCCAATAAGTATAAACAGCTGTACTTACATGTGTCTGGCTTGAGCTGACTGTTGGTGATGCCAAAGTACTGGGGATTTTCAATGACAGGAATCTTGGTCATTCCAATAATGACGGCATCAGGGCCGCCCTCTGAAGAAGATGGAGTGTTACTCCCATTGGAGATGTGGTGGAGTGGGCTGGCTGAGTCATCATCATTACTGATAACTGAAGCTGGGCCTGGAGTTAGAAAAAAAATATACTCTCCTGTAATTTTTAAGCACTTTTATTGAGCTATAAATCACATACATAAAATTCACTCATCTGATGAGTTTTATTCTATTCACAGAATTGTGCAACCATCACCACAATCTAGTTTTAGAACACTTTTACCACTCCAATTAGCAGTCACTCCCCATTCCCTACCCATAGTCCTAAGCATCTATGCTCTGTCTCTATGGATTTGCATAATTGGGCATTTCATAGAAATGGAGTCATACAATATATGGTCTTTTGTGACTGACTTCTTTCACAAAGCATAATGCTTCGAAAGTTCATGCATGTTATAACACTGTTATCACGTCAATTCTGACTCATAGCAACCCTATAGACAGAGTAGAACGTCCCCACAGGGTTTCTAAGGCTGTAATCTTTATGGAAGCATGCTGCCACATCTTTCTCCTGCAAAGCTGCTGGTGAGTTCAAATTGCCGATCTTTAAGTTAACAGCCAAGTGCTTTAACCACTGTACCACTAGGGCTCCTTTTGTAACATGTGTAAGTTTTTTTTATTCATTTACATAGTCAAGTAATATTTCACTGTACAGATATACAAGTAGTCCTCAACTTAACAACGGGGTTCCATTCTGACTACTGTGTTGTAAGTCAGTTCTGACAAAAGTCAAATACCTCATTGTTTTGTTTTATTTTTTCAGTTTTTATGATTATTGCCTTTTATTATCTTTATAAATCATAGTATCAAATAGCTGCAAGTGAACATCTGAGATGATAACATCCACAAATTATGTGCTGCAATCACATTGCATGTAGTACATATTACTAATGATACAAAGTACAAAAAAAAAGGTGGTCCTAAGTAGTTCAATTCATTGAATTTCTAAAGCATCATAAATCGGGGACAATCTGTCTCACATTTGCTTATCTGTTCATCAGTTAATGAACATTTGAGTTCCATCCACTCTTTGGCTATTACGGATAGTGCCTCTAGCAACATAGGAGCCCTGGTGATGGAATGGTTAAAGCAATAGACTGCTAACTGAAAAGTTGGTAGTTTGAACCCACCAGCCACTCTGTAAGAGAAAGACGTGGCAGTCTGTTTCCATAAAAAGATTTCAGCCTTGGAAACCCTATGAATCAGTTCTACTCTTTCTATGAGGTGACGATGAGTTGAGATAGCCTTGATGGCAATGGGTATCATGCACAAGGTTTTGTGTGGATATTAAATTTTCATTTCTCTTGAGTGGGTCATATGGTAGCTCTATATATAACATGTTGAGGAACTGCCAACTGTTTTCCAAAGTGGCTGCACCATTTTATATTCACACCAGCAACATATGAGGGTTCCAATTTCTCTACATCCTTCTCTTATAATTTTATATGCAGCCTTCCTCTCTGCTTTCTGAATGCCTTTAGAATACGCCGTCATTGAAATTCACAGTATAACTCCAGGATTCATGTTTTAGAGAAAGATATGCTAGAAATCTGAAGACTTGAATCCTTTTCCCCACTCTTTGGACAACTCACTTACCTTTTTCAGACCTCTACATCCACTTATATTCTAAAATATGTGAAATAATAAATATCTGCATATCCATTTATGAGAGAGAATAAGGCTATTGACATTAAAATATATTACAAATTTAAACATGCTCTTTGAGTATGAATTATTACCAGGCAAAACTAGTGGACCAGAGGTACATTGGACTGTCATGGTACTATGTCCCTCTTACTCTATATTCTGTGAGTACCTGCATCATTTTTGCCTAGAAAATACTTTACATCAGTAGTGGAATGGAAAATCAATCCTATGACAAAATGATCTGCCTTGCCTTCAGCCATTAGCTGTAATATCATCTGCAGAGTCATTATATGAATGTCTTATATTCATGTCTTATAAAGCCATAACCATAACGTTTTTCATACAGCACTTGAACTTTCTAGTTCAGATTCTTAGAATATACATGCCCACACATAGGGCCAGATTAAGGCATGTGAGCACCCTAAACACTGATAATCTGTGGTCCCTCTCTTCTGCTCACTCATGAATTTGAATAAGATATGTGAGTTACACATCTTGTTGTTGTTGTTATGTGCCGTCGAGTCGGACCTGACTCATAGTGACCCCTCCTTGGGTTTCCAAGGCAGTTTCACTGTGGAAGTAGATTGCCCAACCTTCCTTCCAAGGAGTGGCTGGTGGGTTTGAACCACCAGCCTTCTGGCTAGCAGTCAAGTGCTTCAGGGACTATGCCACCATATACATATATACATAAGTGTGTGTGTGTCTTAGCTACCCATGGTTTAATGTCTTTTTAAATGTGACTATAATATTAGTAATTGAACACAAAAGTGGTGTATACCATTTTAGTTGAATGAGATGAACTGGATTATAAAATGTTTAGTGGATACAGAGTACTAATATTTTTATTATATACCACATTTTCAAAAAAAATTAAAAAGCCACATAGTCTACAACAAATAAAATGAACTTAGTTATTTCAACAATCAATACAAAAAATTCTGTTGCTGTCCCACAACAAAAAATAGACTTTCACCAATTTGCTTTAAATGGCTCATACTTCAGTTTTGATGCTTGTTTTGTAATAGATGCTATAATCATAAACGAAAACATGAAAAGAAGTCATAAAAGAAAATGTAATAATCCTTGCACTTGGGCACCCTCATGACCCTTCATGAACTTTATTTCCAGCCAACACATTCTCACGCACTGGAGCTAGTATCAGTTTCATTTAATGCCCTGCCATTTCCCTTCCACTGTGGCGCTCTCTTTCCTTGTGTACTGTCTGCTGGCATCTATGGGTCTTTGATTTGAAACAGGTGCCCAGTTTTGTTGATGTCCTAAGCACATGCTTAACACATTTATTGGTTAATCTGTCCCTGCCCATGCATATGGTCTACTGTGTCTTGTCTAAGCAATTCATCTGTTGAACACTAAACTCACATTATTTGCAACCAAAACTGGACCTGCAAAGATAAAGCTTTATGGGAAAGTCTCAAGACAATTGTTGTTGTTGTTATGTGCCGTCGAGTCAGACTTGACTCATAGCGACCCCCCTTGGGTTTCCGAGGCAATATCACTATGGAAGTAGATTGCCCCATCTTCCTTATGAGGAGCCTTCTTCTGGTTAGCAGTCAAGTGCCTTAGGCACTAGGCTACCAGAGCTCCAAAACAGGCCAGCCTACTTCAAGACAATTAAGATCTTGATAATTCATGATAGGCACTCCATATGTGGGAGGTACACAAAACCCCCTTAATGAATCTTACACACATTTCTGAAGTGTATTGATGTGTATGAAGAAGAATGAGGCATCAGGATTGGTGGAAGACTCATTAACAACTTGCAATATTCAGCTGACACAACCTTCCTTGCTGAAAGAAAGAGGACTTGAAGCATTTACTGATGAAGGGCAAAAGCTACAGCCTTCAGTATGGACTGCACTTCAACAAAAAGAAAAAAAAAAAATCTTCACAACTGGATCAATAAGCAATATCATGATAAATGGAGAAAAATTGAAGTTGTTAGGGATTTCATATTACTTGGATTCAAAATCAATGCCCATGGAAGCAGTCAAGAAATCAAATAACATAGTGCATTGGGCAAATATGCAACAGAAGACCTTTTTAAAGTATTAGAAAGCAAAGCTGTCACTTGAGGACTAAGGTATACCTGACCCAAGCTATGGTGTTTTCAGTCACCTCATATGCACATGAAAGCTGGACAATGAATAAGGAAGACAAAACAAGAATGGGTGCATTTGAATTATGATGTTGGCAAAGAATATTGAATATATCATGGACTGCCAGAAGAATGAACAAATCTGTGTTGGAAAAAGGACAACCACAATGCTCTTTAGAAGTGATGGCAAGACTTTATCTCATGTACTTTGGACAAGGCATCAGCAGGGGCCATTTCCTGGACAAGAACATCATGCATGGTAAATAGATGGTCAGCGAAAAGGAGGAAGAACCTCAACAAGACGGATTGACACACTGGCTGCAGCAATAAGCTCAAACATAGCAACAATTGTGAGGATGGTGCAGGACCAGGTAGTATTTCATTCTGTTGTGCATAGGGTTGCTATGAGTTGGAAGCAACTCAACAGCACCTAACAACAACAACAGCAGTGAATGGATTCAGAGTCCCACTGGAAGAGATCCCTGCACATAGGTACAGAAAGAAGCCAGGAGGAAGACAGGAGAGAAAGGATAAGGAGGGCAAGACAAAGGAGAAAGAGTGAACAGGCAGAATCAAAATACCAGCCAAGTCAAAATGCATATTAAGACAAAGAGAGTGTGAATTTCTACTTTGTAGGCAAGGGAAAGGAGTCTTGGTGGCACTCTAGTTAAGTGTTCAGCTGTTAATCAAAAGGTTAGCAGTTTGAATTCACTAGCCACCCTTTGGGAGAAAGATGAGACAATCTGCTCCCATAAAGATTTACAGCCTTGGAAACCATATGGGGGATTTCTACTCTGTTCTATAGTGTCACGATGCATCAAAATCAACTCAGTAGCAGTGCGTTTGGGTTTGGGTTTGGGCAAGGGAATGTATTTTCATTCAACCCCTCAGGATGCATGTTTCAGTACCTCCTTCCATTCTCTACCTTGGCCAATTAACCAATTCTCAAAACAAAATTGTTGTGTCATACATTTTGAAAGCACCTAAATATAATGGTCACCTCTGCCTTAATCCCCAGGATCCATATTTCCCCTTCATATGGAAATTAAGGAGTCCCTGGGTGGTGCCAATGGTTAATGAGCTTGGCTATTAACCAAAAGGGTGGATTGTTGAGTCTCCACCCCGCCCCCACCGCAGACACCTCGGAAGAAAGTCCTGGAGATCTACTTCTGAAAAATCAGCCATTGAAAACCCTGTAGAGAACAGTTTTACTCTGACACACATGAGGTCATCATGAGTCAGAATCCACTTGATGGCTACTAGTTTATATGGGGATCATCACAATTTACAGTGATATCAATTGCACATTCCCCAGCTAGCTATGTCTTTGACAAAGTATACAGGAGGCAGTCGCGTGCTATTACAGGTAATTTGAAGAAGCATTCTCTCAAGAGGATGAGCATTTCAGTTGCCTTTAATGATATGCTCTAGTTTCTTTCTGCAAACAAGTCCTCACATGACCAATTTAGAAGCCACTGTATACACAAAGTGAAAGCAAGCCCACCAGTTGGGTGTTTCTTGGGCTTAATTCAGCTGGATCAGTAAAAAGCAGAACTCCTGCCAAGAAAAGCTATCAAGACAAGTGCTCTCTAATAGCCCTCGCCATCTCTGTTTTATGATTTGCTTCCTGACAGGCCTAAATCACCCAGAGCTTAAACCTAGATCTGGTCAGTGATGGAAAATGGAAATGTGTTATGCTAATGTTTGTTATCTTGTCATTAAAACTTTTCCACAACTGGGAAGCCTTTGTTCCCTGTTTAGCTGTTCTCTCATTCTAGGTTGCCAAAGCAAGCTACTGCCTGAGCCCTGAGGGGAGGTGTAATCACAATTGCACAATTCTCATCAGATTTCACATGGCACCTTCTACTTCCTCCCCTCAGAACTCAAGAGTTGTCATTTACAAATACTCCCCACACTGCCATAAAGCCAGAGATTGCTCCTTCTGGAACCCCTGCAATAATTAGAAATGCACAGAATCCAGTTACTGCATTCTCTGGTTCTCTTCCGGCCAGGTCAGCCTATCATCATAAAGCAGCATTCCAGCATTTTTGAGGATGTTGATACCTACAAGACAATTTTCTGTCTCAAAATCATCAACCATCTACACAGTTGAGCCCTCTCTTAAAGAATTCAACCAAGAAACTTATTTTGTGCCTCACCTCCTTCTCCAAAGAAAAACCTTTTTCTCCCCTGGCCTCTTCAATTAAAAACCCCAGCTCTGATGTATCATATCCCAACAGTATGGGCTCACTGTTTAGAGAAGGAAATGTTTAAATGGAGAAGAGTATAAAGCACCTATGGTAATTTTTCAAACGCCTTTTCACTTTTCCAGAAAGCCACTGTTGACAAATCTGAGCAACACATAAACCTCAACAATTTATCAAGTGGAATATTAATTCAAGTGCTGTTTCCTTCGTTACTGATGTTCCAGATCCTGGAAGATTGATAAGGCTGGCAAGGTGGCAGGGATTAAGCCCATTTTTCTATGAACATTTTGATATAATAAAGTACATAGTGCAGCAAAGTAGGGAAGGAGGAAACACTCTCAACGGGAACAATGAATGTCTATATAATTTGACAGCAGCCTGTCTGTGCCTATCATGGAAATATCTTTGTGTGTCTGTAAATGCATTTGAGCAGACACACGAACAAGACAGACAGAAGAACATGGGGGGGGGCATATTCCACTGTGTTACGAGAAATTCATAAGAGGACTTGAAAAAACACATTATAATATTAATAAAAAGTTTTAAATTGCTAGGGATGTACATACCTGCTGAGTATGGGTTTGATAATTCTAATTACTGAGCTGACAAATATTAGTTATGCCTGGAAACATTTTTAGCCCATTTTTATTTTACTATGTCTCTGATACGAAGAGGCATTTTTCTTTTATCAAAGCTGCCTGGTATCATATCCTGTACATATGACTTCGCAGATATTTCTAAGCTTAATGTAGAGTGATCTTCCTACACTGAGAGTCAGTGTAGGTCATCTCAGAAAAGAGTCTTCCCTCCAGGAGATAGGATTGACTATCGTCTGGGAAAACCCCCCAGATGGACTGTAGCTATAAGTACAATTCTGAAGAAACCCTCTCTCTGCTATGTGGTCTAAAAGGATGAAGCATATTTTGAAGCTTTTAGGAAAAAAATAATCTCTCTGCAATGCAAACTGACCTGACAAAATACAAAAATATACATTTATTTTGTGGCGGGAAGACCTCCATGTCACAGTACTGTCTGTGGGAGAGTTGGTCAGCTGCTGCCTCTCCCTATATAAAAACCTTTGAAACAAGATACCATTACTGCTGCCCAGGCAAGACAATCCCTCAGATATCTTGGCAAAGTGACTGATGAGCTGTATCTGAAATTTCCTCTGTAGAGCTGCCTAGGAGAAAACACCTTTTCCACATCTCCTCTTCCTCTTTGGTGGTTAGGTTTTACCTTGGAATTTACAGGGATAGTTCAAGGTTAGGATGACTTTTTTCCTTTCAGGCCCTGCCTAGCTCAGTCTGTGTCAGCCTGCCACCTTGTGCTCAGCCACTTTGTCATTTTTGGATCACTGAACAGATCCAAATATCCCTGGGTTGTCCAAACATCCCTGGGTTGCCACTACCTGAAGGCTGGAAGTTCAAGTCCACCTGGAGAGGCCTCAGAAGAAACACCTGGTGATCTATTTCTGAAAAATCAGCCACTGAAAACCTTATGGAGCACAGTGCTAAACTAACATACATGGGGTCACCATGAGTCAGAGTTGACTTAATAGCAGCTGGTTGGTTGGAACAGACATTGATAAGGCATCCCAACAGGAAAGGGTCTGATGCCAGGTAACAGGGCTTATTATATAGACAGAGAGAATGGGATAAACAAGTATGGAGTGGATGGTTCAGAACTGGAGACTCCATGACAGTGATACATATCCCCTACTTTGCAATTTCACCTCTAGCCAACCTTACTACCAAAATAAATGGTAACCAACAGATGCTCAGGATGGTAAGATCTTGGCAAAGCATACGAAGAATGTAAGACAGCCTGCCTTTTCATGCCTTCCACACAATTTCTGTTCATTGTTTCTGTACTCATAAAAAATACAGAACAAATTGGAGGGCCTAGGAAATCACACCTGACTTCAATCCTAGTGATGAGAGACATCATCTGTGTGTGCTCGCTTGGTGAGCTCCAAACGCTGGTTTTTAATTGTCAGTACACTGTCTGAATACAAGGAATAGAAAGCAATCAGGCAAAAATCATAGCATCCAGATGCAGCAGTCTGTTTTGAAAGTTGGTGAAATGGTCATAAATGAACAGCTGATTTACCACTTCAGAAATTGACTGCATTGCCTCTTGGCCAATGGAAGAAAGTTAAGACCCAAACTGGCCCAGGCATTTATTTTTCTTAAGTGTAGTTGTATAGTTACATTCTAGCTCCTTAACCCTCTTTAAAAAAGCCTATCACAATGTAAAACTAGGATGACAGTTGACTTCTCCATGAGATAAAAACAAGTTGATTTCAAAAATGCAAAATGGTTTACTGAACTCAATTACAAAACATAATGCTTTTTTCTGGAAACTTCTAGGCCTCCTTTTTCAACAAATCAGAAACCAGGAACACAAAAAAATGCATCAAGTTTCAATGGATAAATAGTCTAAGCAATTTCATCCTAGTTAAGCAACATGAACTCATGACTTATCCAAAGAAAGAGTGAGCAACTACTTACCAACACCTTGTCTTGATTTTACTTTCCCAAATCCAAACCATGAGAAATCTGAAAACCACAACAAAACATAAAATAAACTTCGAAAGAGAAGCGTAAACTAGAGGCAGTCAGCACTGTCCTTAGTGAAATAACCAACAAACTCCCATGAAAAACCCTACTTGGGGCCAAATCTTCCTGTCAAACACCTGGAAACCAATCCTTGGATTTTTATGCCAAGATTTATTTTTGACCCTGAGAACATGGGGCTTCTAATCAGACAAGAGACAGCAGGCTGTCTTCAAGAAAAATGGTCACAACGCAGGGTGGATGGCTCAGGGCAGCTTTCTTTCCCACTTGCTTTCCTCCCCCTAAGTGGAAAGATCATTGCCTCATACTGAACCTTCTAGAAGAAAAGCTGCAGGGCTGAAAATTCACAATGCATTTGACAAATATACTGTGGTTCTGAACTGCAGCAATATAAGAAAATAATAACAGAAAACAGATCTTGTCTGAAGCTGAGACAATTGGAAAAAAAAAAAAAAAAAGGAACACAAAATTCCATGGTAGATCTCACGCTTGGCCTGGATAGGGATTCAGGAAGGAAAAGAAGATCTTAATTGTACACTGATTCCCACGACTGACTTGCTGGGTGGTTGTGAGAAGCTCCTGGCAACTCCATGCCTCTTAAAGCACAGGCTTCACTACGTACATGGAAGAAAGTATTTGACAAGTGCTTTAAGGCCTTCCATTAGATAAAGCCACAGTGGAATATTTATTTGTTCTGGGGCCTGCCTGTTCCTTTCTAGGTATCTTCCACTTGATTCAAAGAGAATTCTACACAGAGAAATCCTCAGCTGAGGGAGCCAAAGATCCTTGGATTACACAAATGGTTTGTGCTCTGCTACTAATCACAAAGTTGGCAGATCAAATTCACCCACTGGAGCTTTTTTTCTTTTTTTTCAGTCATGTTTATTTCACAAGGAACTCTCAAAAGGACAATGCCATAGCAATCCCTCACTGATCACACATTTCCGGCTGTTTTTAGTCTTTAACGATAGTAAACACAACTGCAATGAACATCTTTGCGCATTGTAAGTGCTTTTCCTCCTATTTTCAAAAGTCTTTCTCTTAGAATGAATCCTAGAAGTGAAATTATCAGGTCAAAAAGGTAGCTACAATTAAGATTCTCAACACACATTACCAAATTGCTTTCCAACTATGTCACATCCCACATTCACCAACACTGTATGAGTGGGTAGGAGGGAATTTTGAGGCTTAACCCAGTGGAAAAGCTAAGGATAAACCACTTCCCTACTTTTATCCTGTCATTTGCATGACTCCACCTAACTGAACGGAGACCATCCGTGCCACAAGAACCCATACATGTCCCACATTTCTGAGTGTGTTCTGCAAAGGTTCAATAAGGAGAACTGTGTGTATGAACAGAGTAAGAACCTGTCTCACTTATGTAGTCATTGCAATTCACCAATTGCCTCCATTCACCACCAGACTCTTCTCCCTTTGTCCTCAGCCAAACCCTGTGAGTAATATATTATCCTCTGTTTACTACATGGAACTGAGCCTTAGCAAGACTGGTAGACTTAGCAAAGGTCACAGTTTGCAAGTGATGGAGCAGAGACTCAAGCTTCTCAAGCCAAATCCAGCCATTTTTCTTTCTTTCAATCACAGTTGCCTTTCTAATATTCCAGTACACTTAGCCAAAATTAGCAAAATGTTCATTCCAATCAAGTTTCAGTTTTATGTATAGAAAAGCAGTGTAAGTATTCATTAATTTTCATTTACTTATTCAACAGGCACACTAGAGGAGTCATAATATAGTATTTTTACTACACAAAAACATCATTCTACATCCTGTTTGTGAGTAGAAACTAGGATCTTAAGAGCTTGCAAGTGGCTGTCTAAGATGCAACAATTGGTCTCTCCTTGTCCAGAGTAAAGAAGAATGAAGAAAACCAAAGACACATGGAAAAATTAGTCCAAGGGACTAGTGGACCATGCAAACCTCAGCCTATATAACTGTGAGACCAGAACAACTAGATGGTGCCTGGCTACCACTGTTAACCACTAGCAAAGGAATCAGTGCAGGAGACCTGCATAGAGTAGGAGAAAAATGTGGAACAAAACTCAAAATCATAAAAAAAGAGCAGGCTTACTGGTTTGATAGAGACTGATGAAACCCCCTAGGACTACAGCACCAAGTCACCCTTCAGACCTGGCACTGAACTCACTCCTGCAGCTTCCAGCCAAACAATAGACAGGCATATAAGATGAACATTTACACCTAGTAGGTACACTCCTTAGAACAGTCAATCATGGGAGATCAGAAGGACAGAATTTGCACAGGAAGATAACTCAGAGGACAAGAATGCATAGGAAAGAAGGACACAGGGAAAAGGTAACTGTTAGGCTGAAGCAAACCCAAGCCACCAACATTCCAGTTAGCAGCTTCCCCCAGGTGTCAAGCCCTGATGAGACAGCCTAATAAGACAACCGAGGTGACAGAACCCGCCCAGACTGGAAAGTCCCATGCAGTGGCAAACTTCCTCTTGTGAAGCCTCCTCATGCTAATTAAGTACAGACCCATGCTAACAGCTAATTGGACCCCACCATTTCCTTAGTGTCCCCACTTAGCTCCTCCACAAGACTATAAACCCTCCCCTCCCCAGCCAGGCGGTGTGACTTCTCAGGCCCCTCTCAGGGACCCGTGAACCTCGTCCGGGCCCCTCTCTGGGGCCCATAAACCTCACCCGGAAACTCGGAATAAAAACTTCTCTTTAACCTCACTTTTGTGCGTCCTCTTCTCCTTACTGTGACCTTACAGTAACCACAGGGAAGAACAGGAAGAGAGCTGTTACATTATGCGATTACAATCAATGTCATGAAACAAAATGTGTATGAACTGCTACGTGGAAAATGAATTTGCTCTGTAAACTTTCACCCAAATCACAATTGGACAAAAAAAAGTAATGAGGACCAGGGAAAAAAAACACAACAGTATTTTTACACATTTACACGTGTTATATGGGTTTTGTCAACCGTACAACCCCTCATGTGTTAGTTTCCTATGTGTGCTATGTGTATTATATGCATGGGCATTATTTATGTGGGCTCACTATATGCAGAAAAATTTAGTAAGCTGTAGAGCCTGCCCTCAAGGAGCTTACAGTTGAGAATAAAGTATCTTGGAACCATGCCAAGGATGTTGTGGGAATTCAGAGGAGGAACATCTATTTCACTATGGGGGGTTAGGTCAAGAGAGAGTTCTATGACTTTTGGACAACAATGTAGAATTGGCTAAGAATGAGAAAAACACAAAGAGCATACTCATGTAAGGAATTCAAGTAAACCAGTTGCCATTAAATTGATTCTGACTCATGGTGACCCTATGTGTGTCAGATTGGAACTGTGCTACATAGGGCTTTTTATGGCTGACTTGTCGAAAGAAGATCTCCAGGGCTTTCTTTTGAGGTACCTCAGGGTGAACTGGAACATCCAACCTCTCAGTTAGTAGACAAATATGTTAACTCTTCGCACCGCTCAAATACTCTTGTAGATAGCTCAGTCATGACTGAAGTGTTGTCTCATGTGTCAAGGAGTTAATATGACTAGAAAGGGGAAAGAGGGTAAGGAAGGACCTAGTCAAGGGTTTGGATTTTATAGTGAAAATTGCAGGTAGGCAGTACAAAAGTATCTCAGGTCAGGAAGTAACATGATCAAGATTAATTTTAGAAAAATCATTTTGGTTGCCTGGTGGAAACTGGATTATCCAAAGGAAAGACTGAGGGTGAGAGACTAGTTAAGGAGGCTTTAAGAGAAATCAAAGCATGAGAGAATTGTGTCCTGAACTGGATATTGATGAGGTGGGAGGATGAAGATAAGTGAGTGCTTGTCAGTCATTTGAGAGGCTCAGCAGGACTTAGTGACTGATTGAAAGTTGAGGGGAGAGTGGAAAAGGAACAAAGAAGGTTTGGGCCTTAAAAAATGAAGGATATGATGCTGCTGTCCACTGAGTCTCTAAGGAGCTTAGAAGGGGAGCAGGCTTAGGGGATGAACTGAGAGCAGTGGTTTGAGACACAAGTTCCTGATGAGATGCCCATGCTGAAAAATACATAGGAGGAAAGTTGGCAAGATGGTCCCGAGCTCAGGAGATAGATCAAAAGCTAAGACTGAGCTCCCCCAAAGTCTAGAGCCCACACTTTGGCTGGAGAGCCAAGCTGGGTGCTGTACTTAGGACAGTTATGATGTGGACACATACAGGCACAAATGAAGGGCACCCAGCTGAGACTAATTTTTGACAAAATTATACCTAAATCTCTAAAATATTTCTAAGTCCTATCAAACAGTAACACAGTCACTAGGCAGCAGAGAATCTAACCTTATTGACCATACCTGAGAATACTTGGAAAATTTAACAGACAAGAAAGGTCAAATTGATACCTCACCCCCAGAAGCCATTCTTCGCTCAACAGCTCTTTCTTGATGGATTAAAGCAGTAGTCTTCAAGCCTTCACGCTAAATTTCACCAGCAAAAATTTCCCACAAGGCCCAAAAGAAACAATTTCTCAATTTTCTGTGATGTTTCACCCATTGGGAGTATAGTCCTGCCAAACATTCCTTTCTTTTCTGCCTAATAAGAGACACTTTATTCACTGCAAAAGAAAGGGCTCCTTCTAGTTGTAGTGAACTTAAAGAAACCCGTCCTTTGAATCTCAACGAACAAAGGCTGCAAATGATGAGATTAATTAATTAATTAAATCCACCTCATTTTGTGGAAAGCTCAACCTTCCCTGACCAAAGAGGAGAAACTTAGAGAAAAATAACACATTAGCGCATTAGCAACTCTAAGATGGGATTCAAACTAAATAAAATAAATGGCAATAAGGATTACTTTCCAAACGTTTTTCAAAGAAAACAGCTAAAACCTAGGAGGCTAAAAGGGTGATATTTATGATGCAAGAGAGAGAATCAGAGAAAGGAGCCAGAAACAGGCAAAATAGAAGAAACCTAATCTTCCCTGTGGGTTGTGAGTTGCACAAACACAAAAGTCA